ACGTTGGTTACCCCATAGCAGTGTGCCACTCACTGGACTTCAAATGGAAATCTAACAGGCATTGAAATGAGTATACAGGGGGGGGGGTGCAATAAAAAGACACTCTTGCCGAGTCACATATCAGTAAAGTTTACGCAGCGATAAGCAGGAGCAGGCTCTCGTCCATCACCTTCATGTACACCAAAATATGAAGTCATCTCCAATCGCAGCCAAACTGAAAAAGGCCTATGGAATTCACGTCACCTCCAAACAGCTGCGAAACTTCTTGTATGGAGTCACCCATGGACAGCTACCTGGGGACCAACACTCTTGATCTGGAAGACCTCCAACATCGAGCAGCTCCGACAACGTCGCTACGGTCCAGGATATCATCTTCACCGCAGTCGCCAAGGCGGTGGATGGTATGGACCGGAAGTACCTGGAATGGGAAGACCGATATTTTCTTCGTGGACCCCGGACTGAAAGTGAACGCTGACGGTTACATCGAGCAACTCGAGGAGAATATCCTGCCTTCATGTCGTCGCCTGTACCATCTTGGAAACTTCGTACTGCTACAGGATTGGGTGCCAGCACATGGAATCGAAGGGCGTTGGAAAAACTCTTCCTACTTGGAATCGAAGGGCGTCGAGAACTCGAACAAGGACAAGGCGGAATATTCAAGTGTGTCCTGACCTAAACCCCCTCGATTACCGGGCTCGAGCGGAGCTCAACAGGGTGGTCTACAGTGGCGGAGAAATCAACGACCTCGCTGAACTCAGGCACCGAATCACGGTCGCGTGGCAGAATCTCTCGATGGCGCTCGTCCAGAAGGCTGTGGCGGAGTTTCGTGATAGTGTACAGAGGGTGGAAACGTCCGAAATAGAATTTAATAAAGTGTGGCCTGTGACGCTTTGAAAGTTGAGGTGTCTTTTTTATTGCCCTTTCCTGTGTTCTGCAAATAGTAGCATTGTTGATTCCAGTTTGGTTTTTTATTCCCCTTGCCAGGTGTATGGTGTATCAATTTCCACTACGAATTGGTGAAATGCCTGAATTGCTTGGCCGTAATGGTGCAGCGCTTCTAGTCATTTTGCTACCTTCGTATTCTAAGATGATTAGTCCTTGAATCAGTGTTTTGAAAACGATTTTTGTCTTATTTCGCTAGAGTTTGGAAAGCTAGTCAAAAGTTTATATTGTAAGGTTTAGTCTTTATCAGCATAGCTTTTATGTGATGTGTCGTAGGAGTAGGTTCTCCTAGTGTATCACTCGTTTTCCCCGGGCTTCTTCAAGTGCTGGTCTCTGTTCATTTCTCTCGCCTTGCCTTGTCACATTGCCGAGTCTGTAAAATTGTTAGCTTCTTGTCTTCCTATCGCTTGCCTGAATTTCAGTGCATTCTCATATACATGTGCTTCTCGGGTATATCCATTTTAGTCTCTTTGATCTCTTTTCCTTGAATTGCTTTTATCAGAACCAGTCACTTCTTCTGATCTCACAAGTTTTTTGTAGTTCTTTTTTAGTGCTTAAAGGCAGAGGTCGCATGGATAAGAGCGAGGTGTTTTGCAGTAGATACTAATTGGCCGAGCTTTCATTGCTGTGCTGAGGACATCAGCGCAACCCTGAAGCTCGGCCTGCATACCAAAGTTGTCTAATGTCGTGTTCATACTCCAGTACTCGAACCATTTATTCGAGCATGTCTGACCAAGCTCGATAATTGTTGGACCGTTGCAAGTGCTTGAAGATTTCCATTCTGAATAGGATTGTGATGGCAGTGCAACGCTCCACCTTTAGCGGTGGAGCCCGGTCGGCCGCAATCACGAGATCCCTAATTTTGGGGGACGGTCAAGACAATCGTAATTTGCCGTTCTCTCGCGTGAGACGATGGGTACGGCGATTTGTTGATGCTAGCCGGTCAATTAGAGCACCGATTTCGATCGGTGCTCTAATTGACCGGCTACGCCATCGCATTCATTTATTGCTGTTGTTGGTTATGTATTGCTATTGTCGCCTACACCCAGAAACATGATCATTTGCGAGCGCGTCGTCGCACGCGACGCCCACTAGCCTGGGAATAATGATTGTCTTGTCACCCCTCAATTAACTGAATTAGCACGACTGTTCGGATCGTATAAGTATGAACGCGGCATAAGCTCGATCCTGAAGAATCTCGCCCAGTGCCATCTCTGCCCATCCCTACCCCTGTCGAAATTCTGCCATAGAAATCAGAAATGCTTGAATAACAATTCATATGGAAAATAAATTTTGGCTTCTCCTGTCTGTTTTTCCTACGCGAAGTGCCAATACGAGCAGATAGATTTCTTGTGAGTTCACCTTTTATGCAGTGAGGGCAGGTCGTAAAATTTCAGTGATGACCACTATTTTTGCGTTGAGAGTTCGGGTGCGCTACCATCGGCGATAGCAGTCTTTCGAATTTCAGGTATGATAATGACAATTCTGTGGTTGTTAAGACACCATGACCAAAGAGGAGAATTGAAAAGAAAACGGAAATTAGAGCTTGATCAGATTTCTCCGGCCATAAGACTATGCACAGTTTTGAGTACACGTTACATTTAAACTGGATCGCAAGGTGTTCCGGGCTGGATAGAGCATCTTTAAGGGTAAGTTGGCGGTGTCCGCGACCTCTCTTACATCTACTTACCTCTTATTGAAAATCCACCGTTTAGAGAGGGGTAGATAGCGCGCGCAAAATGGAAAAATCAACATTTTAAAGACAGCGTCCGCCATCAACCAAGGTGCAGAAATCCTTTAGAGTACAAGATGGCGGAGCTTGTGGTCACAGCGGATATCCCTTTTTCGCGGCTCAAAAGCGCTTGATAAAAGCACGACAGCTCAGCAACGATAAGCTGACTCCGCCTATGAGGGCGGAGTCAACAAGTTCCACTCGATCATTTTTCATTACCAAGATTCGTTAGCGGTGATAATTGCTAATCTTATCGAATATGCCTTGGAGAATGAGTCGCAGCAAGTGGCGATTAGATTCAGAGAACTCGCCCAAAGTTTGATAAACTCGACCATCTACAATCCTGTACATGAAGTCTTTTTAAAGCGTTTTCAGTGGACTCTTTCGCTTTTTTCTTCTTTAGCATTGTTCCTACAAGATGACTTGACGGTTCTAAGCTCTAAAACCAGTTAAAGGCGGTCGGCTGTCTTTAAATAAAAGTTCCACTGTATCCCGAGTGCGACCCCTTTCCCGGTGTTCCAAATGCGGCTTCGTGATGGGTTCCACTCAGCGACAATGTACGCTAATTCTGAAAAGCACACAGCTATTAGTTTACTCGGCCAGAATGACAGGACGTTGTGGACGCCCGCGAGTAGGACCCGAAGTTATGAAAATCAATTTTATTGAAATGGCCGCTTGTCTGAAAGACCGCTTGAGGTTTCTTGCAGTGCTACTGGCGCGGATCACTATCAAGGCAAAAACAGTTTCTGCTTTCTCCTTACCAATACGTTGTATAAACACCGTCAGCACGGCAGACAACAGATGAACCATAACGATGAAGAAACTCGAGGGTATCATCAAGGCATCCTTGGCGAGGGGTTACGAATGGTGAATTCTTGGCGAAAGGAGGAAATCTCAAAGTACGAAAAAGTAGCGCGAACTGAGTGCTCACAAGGGAACCCCAACAGGTCGATCCGACCATTGCAATGAAATGTATCTAGGCGGACGTGACGTGGGCCGCTGAACTCATTCTGCCCTCGGAATTTGCGGAACGATGATCTGAAGGGAATTACGGACCGTTCATTCTATGCTGTGTTCGCACAAGTCCGGAGCGATAACTTGTTGCGGCAAAAGACCGGTAGTGTAGTGGAAAAACGCTTTGCTTTATAGTTTAGAGTACGTGGTCGCCTGCCGGAATCCTTGACTCTTGCAAATTTTTGCTTTTTTTGAATCAATTCATATGAGTCTCGAAAAACACTTCTATTGACCTAGCTCTTCGATTATTTTACAATAGATAGGGCAAATTCCCCATTTCTGGTTCCTTCCGAGAACTTTTATTATGGCAGTATCTGGCCATTAGAACTTGCATAAGGAAGTGAAGTTCTTATGGTCTAAAGGCAGTTGGCACGATAAATACCCAAGACGAGTAGGAATAATACGCCTGGCTAGACAGAATTCCGCAACTCTGGGCAGGCGCTGTGTAGCTCGTTTCCCAAGGAAGGTACCCTATCAGGCTACAACATACCGACCCGAACGCCCACCGCGCCCGCCCGCCCACAAATGGACGACCGTACCTGATGCTCGTATTGCTTCATTTGCTAAGTAAAATGTGAAGCGAAGGGAATGACCGTACCTACCGTAGCGGTTTTTGGCAAGATGCCTACGCGAAACTCGTCCGAAATTACTTTTGAGTCATTAAGAACGAAGGCTTTTCTTCGCAGGTTTTTGACCGTTTCACTTCGTTTTTTCGCCATTTTCCCACTATACAGCGCCTTGCTAGCATTTTAGGCCGAGTACCAAATAATCGTGCCAACTGCATTTTAGGGTACATGTGGTACCTTCCACGAAATGATAAAAACAGAACAAGTTCTCACA